TTTCCCTCTCTCCCCATCGCTGGGCTGGCTCTGCTCCAGGGCAGCCTGGGAACAGGGCAGAGCCAGGGCAGGGTGGGCGGGCGCCAGGAGGAAGCCAGGAGGAGGCAGGCGGGATGATTTAGGAGCTGTTCTAGGCAGGCCCCTGGAGAGCATGGGCAAGGGAGGGCGGACGTGACAGAGGGAGGGAGCATTTGTTCAGGGTGAGTCAAAAGATGCAAAGGGCTTTCTTGGGAGGCCTGGAGAGAAAGGGAGGTCTGGAGCCACCAGGGCCAGGGCTGGCATGGTGCCCGGCCAAAGCCAGAGCTTCAGAGCTGGGCGCTGGCCGCTGGGAGGGTGTTTCCAGGCAGCAAACATGCCAGCCTGTGTCCAGCATGGCCAGACCTGGAGGCTCAGAGATGATGCCCCTTTGCATCTCTGCTCCACACTTGGCAGCCTGGGCCCACTCTCAGGCCTTGGTGTGCCCAGCTGTGAAATGGGAGAATCTGATGGCCCTTCTCACATGAGGAGCCTGGCACACAGCAGCGCTGATCATCTTACCTGCTGTTTCTCCCTCCTTTGTTTTTCTGAGTCAGAATCTCATTCTGTTTTGCCCAGGCTGCAGTGCCTTGTGCGATCTCGGCTCACTGCAACCTCCGCCTCCCTGGTTGAAGTGATTCTCCTGCCTCAGCCTCCCAAGTGGCTGGGACTACAGGCCCATGCCAAAATATCTGGCTAATTTTTTTTTTTTTTTGTAATTTAGTGGAGATAGGGTTTCACTGTGTTGGCCAGGGTGGTCTCGAACTTCTGACCTTGTGACCCACCCGCCTCATCCTCCCAAAGTGCTGGGATTACAGGTGTGAGCCACTGCGCCCAGCCTTCTCCCTCCTTTTTAACACGCTCAGCAGACGCCACTGTCCTGAAGCCTCAGCAGCTTGGGACTTGGATTTTTCTAGGTCTGGTATAGATTTTACTTGTCCATTCGGTTCCATTCCATTCCCAGGGATTCAGGGTAATGTTCAGGTCCTCAGCCCGCCATGCAGGGCCTGCCCCAGCTTGCCCTGGACCCTCCTTCCTGTTCATCCCCAGCCTGGTATCTAGACGCCCCAGCATACAACCTGCCTCTCTCTAGGTGTCCCAGCTTCTGCCCGCCCTACCATCCACCACTCGCCCCATTCCCCTCATCAAGAATGCCCAGGTGTTTCCCTCTGCAGGCCTAATGCCTATATGTCCTTGTCCTTCAAGGCCCAACTCAATTGCCACCTCCTCTAGGGAGACTTCCCTGGATGCCTCTAGCCTGCCCCATGGGGCTTCCACAGTGCTTCCTCCAGACCATTCATCCATCCCAAGTCTAGGCCAATTTTTGAGCCAGAAACCATGTGCCCAAGAAGCCAGGGCTGGCATGGAGGGGGATGCCCGAGAAAGGCTGGAATTCTGCAGGCAGCAGGAATGTGAGAAGAAAGGTTTGCTCTGCTGTAGAAAAAGAGACGCTTTTGGGGGAGACGGACGGGGCTTCTGCTCCAGCGAAGACCAACGGGCTAACACGAATCCCCAGGGCTTTCAGAGGGAGAAGACCCTGGCTCCCAGCAGGGCCTGGAATCTCAAGGTGATCTTGCAGACAGGAGTGGGAAGGTGGGGGCTGCAGCCCATCCAGGACTAAACCAGCGACCCCGCAAATGGGCACAGGGGAGCGTCCATAAGGCAGAGCCCCCTCGGGCCGCTCATCTGAGGAATCACTCCAATGATCTGCTTTAAAGTGACGCTCAAAGCCCGACCGTCCTCTTCCTGTGAACATCACAGAAGCCAGCCCCCAACCTCCCCGATTATTTGAGAATTCTCCCTCTACACCCATCAAATTAGAGCAGCGTCCAGCAGGGCTGCACCAGCACCGACAGGTATTAAACTTTAATGAACACTAATGGCTTTGCCCTACTTTGTGAGTGCCAGGCCTACATTTATGAACATTTAATTTCTCGGGCCTTGACCTCGCTCCCTCCCCGGCTGCCGGCCCCTGGCTGCCTCCCACCCCCCAGCTCCGCCTCTCCTGGGCAGACGTTGGTGTTTTTCATCAGCAGTCAGGCTGAGCCTTCCCTGACCCCCGACAGCCCAGCCCGAATGTCCATTCTCCCAGGGGGTCAACAGCCTGGAGGCCAGCAGCAAGCCAGAACAGTATCCCCGCCCAGTGACCAGCGGCCCGGCACTCCCAGGCAGATGGGAAGTGTCCTGTGGGCCCCCGAGGGGTGCACTCCACGCTGCCTGCAGGCCTTGCCCCAGGACGCCCGGAGCTCCCCAGGCCCACCCCGCCCCAGTGGGCCTACATCAGGACTGCAGGGCACAGGCTGGCGGCCAAACCCCTGCTGCCCCCTGGTGGCGAAAAGGCCCACCTGCCCACTGGGGGGACCCCAAGCCCCCAGGTCCAGCCCAGCCACCAGGCTGGGGGGCAGTGGGGAATAGACAGAGGGGGCCTGAGCAGGGCACCTCACTCTGGACTAGACTCCTAGAAGATTAGAGCCCTGGACTGCCTGCTGCCTCCTGGGTGTAAGTCCCTTGCCTTTGGAGACTGGGATGGTACCAAAATCACACAGGAGCCGGAGGACTGTTCCAGAAGTTTTCGGACCTATCTCAGTCAGGAATAGGTAGCTCTTTGTGACTCAGCAGTAGTCTCTGCAAAATGAAGCTAGCAAAACACCCTCCCAGCTGCTTCCCACCCCTTCAGCTCCGGGGGATGGAGGCAATACCAGAGGCATTTATTAAGTACCTACTGCCTGCCGGGTACTGGACGGAGCTGTAAGGACATCAGACATTTCTGCTATTGGGATTCAAGGGGATGGTGCATCCACCACAGACACCAGGTCATTTGGGCTGGGAGCCCTGGGAGCTTGTGGCCTCTGGCCTCCCTGCAGCTCTTCTCTTGCCAGAGGCCTCAGACAGCCCAAAGTTCACAAATTTTGTGTCCCTGCCTTCCTTTCCTTGAGACAGGGTCTTGCTGTGTTGCCTAGGCTGGAGTGAAGTGGCTTAATCACAGTTCATTGCAGCCTTGACCTGCTGGCCTCAAGCAATCCTCCCACTTCAGCCTCCCAAAGTGCTGGGATTACAGGCATGCAGCACTGTGCCTGGCTCAGTTTCCCTTCTGACCTCCAAGAGGCAGCTGCCTGTGAGAAGCAATGACTGCAGACACCGCACCAGCAGCCTTGGCAGGGGCTCTAGCTGATCCTCCTCCCTCTGACCAGCCTCTGGTCCTTATCTGAGGGAGGAGGCCAAGCCCAAAGAGGCAGGGAATGGATAAGAGGAACCCAGGCTCCACCCAGCCACATTAGGATTCCCTTGCCCAGAGTCATGCACTGTGCCTCTGGGTAGATGGAGAGGTCTCGTAGGGCATCCCTGCACATTCAGGGTCAGCCAGCCTGACCCCAACCGCCTTTCCGCCTCTCCAGCCTCAGGCTCCATCTTTCCTGAGGCAACGCTCCCTAAGAGTAAAGGAGGCGGCCAGGCGCAGTGGCTCACGCCTGTAATCCCAGCACTTTGGGAGGCCAAGGCAGGTGGATCACCAGGGGTCAGGAGTTCGAGACCAGCCTGGCTAATCTGGTGAAACCCCGTTTCTACTAAAAATATAAAAAATTAGCTGGGTGTGGTTGCGGAGGTGTCTGTAGTCCCAGCTACTGGGGAGGCTGAGGCAGGAGAATCACTTGAACCCAGGAGGCGGAGGTTGCAGTGAGCCGAGATCACACCATTGCACTTCAGCCTGGGCGACATAGGAAGACTCTGTGTCAAAAAAAAAAAAAAAAAAAAGAAAGAAAGAAAGAAAAAGAAAAGAGTTAAGGAGGCTGGGCTTCTGGGTTCCAGACCCTTCCACATGTCCTGGCTGTGATATGTGGCTGGCCTTCAGCTTCCTCACCTGTGATACGGAGACAGTGGGAGACCCTACACCCCAGTAGGATTGCCTGATAAAATACACGACGCCCAGTGAAACTTCAATCCCAGATAAACAACAAATACCTTCTTCAGTATAACAGCTTTAATATATAACCCTCGTGCCCTATGATGCCATGTAAGGCGCACAGTTGGGTGCGCTTTGGCATACTCATAGCACTGGGCAGCTACTCGCCACAGTTAATGTCAGGCTGTATGGACCACTCCAGAGAGCTCCATGTCCATCAGTGGCCATGCTCCCAGCCCCTCCCCAGCCTGAAGCCACAGATGTTTTAAGAACGTTAAGTATAGCCTAACTATTGCATGGGGCATGCTCACACTAAAAGGTAGTTGTTGTTTCTCTAAAGTTGACATTTAACTAGGTGCCCCATTTTTTTTCTTTCTGAATCTGGCGGCTCGCCCTGCCAGGCCTGCTGCAGGCCTGAAAGGAGTCCGCTGCGTGCGCATCGTCGATGCTGGGTGCCACCGTCCTGTTCTCAGTATTCATATTACCGTTGTTTGAGATCCTCCAGAAGCAGATCCCAGGACAAGGATCAAGGGCAGGGAGCTGATTTGGGAGGGAATCCCGGGAAGGGAGGGAGTGGGGAGTAAGGCTGGGAAGGAAACCTCCAGGGGCCACGCTGAACAGGCCAGGTGGGGTCCCTGGGAGAGAAGAGTTCCCAGGAAGGACAGGGATGATGGAGAGGTATCCACCAGCACCTTCCCTTCTTGGGCGGGAGTGACTCCCGGGGACACCCACCTCCTGGCACGTAAGTTGCAGCCTGCATGAGCCGGGGGCAGCCCGGGAACAGGTTCCAGCATGGAAGCCCAGAAGCCACCAGGTTCTACAGAGCCATCTGCAGGTGAGCTCCGAGACCAACGGGGGACATGTGGGTGTGGCCCCACAAGCATCTGCTACAGAGAGCCTGGGCACACATGTCAGCTTGAATAGTGTCCCGCCCCACCCCCGATTCACATCCCCCTGGAACCTGTGAATGGGGTCTTGCTTAGAAACAGGGTCTCTGCAGATGGCATCAGGTGGAAATGTGGGTATATATTAAATATACCCACATTTATAAGGACGGCCGGTGTCCTTATAACATGAGGGGAATTGAGAGACAGTCACAGGGGAAAGACGGTCATGTGATGACTGCAGACACTGAAGTGATGCTGCCACAAGCCAAGGAATGCTGAAGCCACCAGAGGCTGGAAGAGCAGGAGGCATGGCTGGCTGGACCTGCCAGGCAGAGTGTGGCCCTGCCGACCCCTTGATTTGGGACTTCTGGCCTCCAGAACTGCAGGAAAAGAAACCTTTCAGCCCCCTGGTTTGTGGTACTTTGTTACCACAGCCACAGGGGACAAATACAGCTAGTCACTACCGTTCTGTGCCTCAGTTTACCCAACTGACAAAAGAGGTAAAAAAGCCTGCTTCTTAGGTGGGTGCATGTGACATGCATTAATGCCTGAATGTGTTTGCACACTACCTGGAATGTCACAGCTCCGTGCCGTGGGGGCTGCTGCAACCATTCTTGCTGCTGCTGTGGATCTGCCCTGATCCATCCTGGCCCTTTCTGAGGGGTGCTGGGGCTGCCAGCTGGGGGGCCTTGGGAGCTGACAGCAACAAACCAGCTAAGCAGCCCCAGCCAAGGAGGCTGGCGCCTTGTCCTGTCAACTCCTAGGGCGGGCAGTGGGGCCGGGAAGGCGCTGCAGTAGAGCGGACCGCTATCATTCCCTGCAGTGCCCGGCCCCTCTGCTCGGCCCAGCCCAGAGCCTGTCTTTCCGCCAGCATGACGCAGCTCCAAAGTGCAGACACAAAAATGTAATGTCATAACATTCGCAGTCCAATAACCTTTGCTTCAGGAGACGGCTCCGGCTGTCAGAGGAGCCGGGAGGTAAATATTTCAGCAGCGAGGCCAGCGTGAGGTTCGGGCTGGGGCCAGGCTCCCAGAGCTGGGCGGAGGGGGATGAGGTGGGGGTGCAGGAGCACTAGCGTCCAGGCTCACCCCATTTAAAATATCCGCACAGTAAATCCAAGGCGAGTGAGCAGGAGAGGCCAGAGCCAGGATGAAATATGAGCGGACATAATGCCTGACGCCTTTATTGTTCTGAAATGCCTTCCAACAAGTTATGGGACCACAGCTTGACCCTAACCCATCATATTGTTATATGGCAGGACACAAAGCTAGCTCTTAGAATTAGGGCTCAAAGGGGGACGAGCTGCCCTGGTCAGGCCACAGCCCTGGGGGGCACGCGGTGCCCCCCACTTAGCAGGAATCTGACCCTGATCTTGTTACCAGAAACCAAAGGAGGCCCCGTCCCTGTCTGCTGCTGGACAACTCCTCCTGGTCATGTGAATGATGACCCCACCCCAACGTCAGCAGAGCTGTGCCCCTGACCGCACAAAGCTACAGGCCATGAGTGTTTTGGAGTACCTACTGCGTGCCAGTGACTGTCCCAGATTTTGGGGACACAGAAGTATGTATAAGAAGACAGAGTTCCTTTTGCATGACTATTATGTATTCATCATAACTACAAATAAATCATCTTATAAACAGATGAATAAGTAATCTGCGCTTTCTAGGCCTGACGTGCAGCTGAATCCCAGCCGAGGCCCAGGGACGGCTGCTGGCACGTTCTTCTCTCTCTCTTTCTGTCCCTTCTCTGGCTTCAGTCACACCTCAGTTTCCCCTTGAGTAAAACAAGACAAAGAGCCTGACTCCACAGGGTCTACGTAAGACCTCAGTGCCCAGATCCACTAAGCGTGGGCCCACCTGCCACGCAGCTGTTTGCCAGTGACACCCCTCCCTGGGCCTCAGTTTGCTTCTCTATTAAATGGGGGCAATACTAGCACCTGCTTGGCAGGCTTGCGGGGATTCAATGGGTTCAGGTAAAGGGCTCCAAGCAGGAAGGGTCTCAGTGATGTGTTAGGATTATTCTTCTGTAAGTGGAAGAGACGGTCTTGGGGGCTCAGCTTTGAGGGCAGGAGATTGTTCTCTCTGCTTCAGGCTTTCTAGGACAGTGACACATGGTGGGAGGGATGGAGGACGGAAGCAGAGACATGGCCATAGCAAGACGCATTGCATACCCAGGTTTACACCACCTGCATGCAAACCAGATGAAAATAACATGTGACCCCCATCCTCAGCCCCTGCTATGGCCCTAGCAGCTGCTTTTTTTTTTTTGGACGGAGTCTCACTCTGTCGCCCAGGCTGGAGTGCAGTGGTGCGATCTCAGCTCACTGCAACCTCCACCTCCTGGGTTCAAGTGATTCTCCTGCCTCAGCCTCCTGAGTAGCTGGGACTACAGGTGCCCACCACCACACCCAGCTAATTTTTGTATTTTTAGTAGAGATGGGGTTTCACCATCTTGGCCAGGCTGGAATCGAACTCCTGACCTCAGGTGATCCACCCACCTTGGCCTCCCAAAGTGCTGGGATAACAGGCGTGAGCCACCAGCCCTGGCCCCTAGCAGCTTCTTAATGATCAGACATGAAGCCCAACACCTTTATTGTTCTGAAATGCTCTACCAGAAGGCCTCAGACGCTGCCTGGCCCCCATTGCTGGCCAGTCCCTTCTCTCCCCAGGACCTGGCTGGGGGGCTTCAGAGCCTGAGCCCCTTTTCTCGCTCAATGAGGGCCATTCCATGGTTCAGAGATTACCTTGGACATCGTGCAACAGTTCTCTCTCTCTTGTTTTCCCTGATGATAATGTTCCCGAAGAAGACTTCCCTACCTTGTAGGATTCGGGACACCTATGACTCTGCCCGGGATTCTCCATCTAAGCACAACCTCATCTCCTGTCACTTGTCCTGGCTCAACCCAACCCCAATGCAGAGCCACCAGCTGCCCCACTCCTTCATCGACAGTCAGAACTGAGTCAAGGGAAGGAAAGAAGCCCAGATGTTGCCTGCTGTTTCTTCCCTTCCTCCCTCCCTTCCTTTCTTCCTTCCTTCCCATCTATCCACCCGTCCACCCATCTATCCACCTACCCACCCATCCATCTGTTATCTATCCACCCATCCATCCACCCATGGATCCACTCACCCATCTACCCATCCATCCATCCCTTCATCCATCCATCCATCCACCCACCCATCACCCACCTATTCACTCACCAATCCATCCATCCATCCATCAATCCCACTATCCAATCATCCAATCACCCATCCATGCAAATATCCACCCAACCATTTTCATTCACCCATTTGTCTAGCCAATAAGTACTTACCTACTCTCTACCAAGCACTGTCCCTAATGTGTTCTGGTGACACAGAGTGAACTACACGGATGAACGAGCTCTCACAAAGCTTATGTTCTAACCAAGGGAGAGAAAGAGATTTTTAAAAGAAGAAAATCAATGAACAGGACAGCTTTGGATAGTTGGTGGTAAGTAAGAGGAAGAAAGCAGCCCAAGGTAACATGAGAGCAGGTGACGTCCTGGAGGAGAGGGGCCACCAGGTCAGATGATCCTGGAAAGTCTCACTGAGGAGGTGACCTTTGAGCTAAGGCCTGAAGGTCGGGAAGAAGCCAGTCCTACAAAGTTCTGTGGAAAGAGCATTGCAGCCTGAAGGGATAGCAGGTGCAAAGGTCCTGGGGCAGGACCACAGAGCAGGGGCCACAAGGGCTCCAGCATGAGTTGGGGGTTGAGCCAGGGGACTAGGAGGGAGGCTGGGGCCAGACCTTGCAGTGCTCCCAGCATTCCACAGGCTGTGGCAAATGTCAAGGCGCCAGGGAGGTGGGGGGCTCTGGGGAGTCACTGGGTGTGAGACTCAGAAAGGACCTGGGGCTGGAACATGGGTACAGGGGACTCCCCCGCTCCTTAGGCCTGGTGTCTTCGTGCATAGCCCCCTGTGTGGGACTCTGGTACCTGTGGCATCTGGGCTGGAAGGGCCATCCACGAACCACGGCAGTTGGGCAGTGGCCAGGGCACCCACTGTCCCTCCCTTCTCTCCTTTAAGTGGTTCCTGAGAACCTCACATTCAAATTGTTAAGAACTCAGAGAGCTGGTGCTAGAAGGCCCGGGGTGATGCTGTGTGGCCCCAGGGAGCCCCAGAACCTTCCGAGGGAGCTGTCCAGTTGTCCCTTCCAAAGTCCACCCAGCCAAAGCCAGGAGCGGGGCTGCCCGAAGAGGCATCGAAGAAATAGTACCCGGGCGCCCTCCCTCCCCTCCAGCACCCATACGGTAAAATCTGGTAACAACTCCAGGAGAAGCCTCTGGAAGGAGTGTCCCAGAGGGCAGCGTGGGTTGGGGGCTGTTTCCAGCACTCACTAAGTGGGGTCACCTTTCCTGACCACCGACTCCGGCCAGCCTCCTTCTAAGGCGTTTCACGCACAGGTGTGCTCAACACTCAGGTCACAAAACTTAGGCCCAGAGAGGGTTTAGCATCTCCTGAAGGTCACACAGCCGACACAGCTGGGACCAGAAGCCATACTCTGAGGCCCCACAATGACAATGACGACGAGGATGACAGCCACAGATCCCACTTCTGTGGCACTAGGTGCCCAGCTGCCATACATAGCCCGTCATGGCAACAGCTCCACTTACAATGACAAGCCCCTGTGAGTTAGGTCATCGTCGTCATTTGAGACGGAATCTTGCTCTGTCTCCCAGGCTGGAGTTCAATGGCACAACTGCAGCTCACTACAACTTCTGCCTCCCAGGTGCAAGTGATTTTACAGGCACCTGCCACCACACCCAGCTAATTTTGTATTTTTAGTAGAGACGGGGTTTCGTCATGTTGGCCAGGCTGGTCTCGAACTCCTGACCTCAGGTGATCCACTCGCCTTGGCCTCCCAAAGTGCTGGGATCACAGGCGTGAGCCACCGCGCCTGGCCCTTATCATTATTATTATTATTATCTCATTTTGCCTATGGGGAAACTGAGGTAAGACGCGGCAAGAGACTTATTCACGTGTGCGGTAAGATGGCGCAGCCAGGTTTGATCCAGGCGGCATCTGGCTCTCCCGCTAGAGCCAACCGTCCATCCTGGTGTCAGGCAGGCAGGCAGGACGTACTACGCCAGGCACCTGTCACAATGTCAGGGCCTGTTTGGCTCTGCTGGCCGCAGCACTGAGCCCAAATAGGGGAAAGGCACGTGGGAGGGTTCCACCTGAGCCACGAGGTTTAAACAGCGTGAAAGGGGGTGGTGGTCTCTGAGCCAGTGTCCCCTCAACTCTGACCTGTCACAGAGAGATCTTGACCAGAAAGAAGGGCCACTGTCCCATGGCCACGGGAGGCCCCGACAGCCCTACAGAGTGACACCCACCCTGGGTGTACCCTCGGGGAATGAGAGTTCGCCCCCAGCCACCCCTCCCCCACAGGGCTTGAGCCAGCCCTGAAAACACCCCACGGCCCCCTCCCTAGGTTCAGGGCCATGCGGCCCCGTCTGGAGCTGGAGCTGGAGCCGGAGCCGTCCTGGCCCAGGGTCACTCGCGGACATTCTTAATGGCCCCCTCCCCTGTCCAGCTCTGTCTCCACCAGAGTGATGTATGACCCCATTACCGCCGAGGCCTCGGAAGGGCTCCAGGATGGACGGCCAGCCGCCTCACGAGAGCGGGGAGGCAAAAACACGTGCAGGTGAAAAATGAACTTCATCAGACTCCCCGGGTCTCATTACCATCCGTCAGCAGCCAGGCCGGCCCTGGGGGCCTCGGGACTTGCCGGGCTCGGAGGCTGCGGACCCCTCCTCCACCTGGGCTCCATCCCAGACACGGCCTCCACTTGGCCTCCTGTCCTGCTCCCCAGGGACCCCAAGAAGGAGCCGTCTGCCATGGGTAGTGGTGGGAGGCAGGTGTTTCCCATCCAGCCTGGACCCTGTGTGGCCGTGAGTCTCTGTGCAGGCGTCTGTCCCCCTCTGCATGGTGACCCCAATAGTAGGGGCCACACCACGCTCTTCTGGAAGTCCTGGCCTCATAGACAGATGGCATCAGGGGCAAAGGGCAGCAGAGAGGAGCCCTGGCTGCGCCCGGGCCAGAGACGCACAGAGACGCGCCTCCCCCTCCTCCCATCCTCCTGCCCCGGACAAGCAGCCACAGGCTGCAGGCACCCACCCCAAAACACCTGCTGTGGGTGTCCTGCCCCGGGCACCTCTCCCAAGCCCCGTGTGGCTGAGCCCAGAGTGGCACAAAGGGCTTCCTTGGCGAGAACAGGCTTGTCTCCCGACTGGCAGAGCAGCAGGGCCCGGGGTAGGGGACAGGGAGCCAGGGAGACTTTTACGACTGGAAGCGTTTCTGAAAGCATCTGGCTGAGGCAAGGCCAGGGTGGGCGGCCAGGTGTGCCCAGCAGGCTCACCTGCTGGGTCTGCGGCAGGCTGGATGCGAGGCCAGAACTCCCACCTGCCCAGCTGCTTGCCTGAGGCCCCCAGGGTACAGAAGCGCCCAGCAAGATTCGGACAGGCCTGCTCTGTGCGTCCCCCCAGCATCCTGCGCCGGAGGATCTGCCTCCCGTCCTCCACGCCTCCATCCACGCCTGGTCTCCCTCAGGAGAGCCTGGACTTCATTAGCTGGAGCTCCTCAAGGTCCCTGAAGAGCAGGGCTAGGCGGCATCCAGAACATTCC